TCCTCTCTTGATCATAAAATATCACATTCCATTTTATTTCCTAAAGAACCATTGTTTTGTATTGCTTCGTGGATATTTGGATGCACCTGTTTAGTTCATGACTTGTCTCCAAGTCTTGATAAGCTTTCTGCTCAAGCCATAAAATGTGTTTTTTTTTTTTCCTAAGGTACTCTTGGTTATAAAAAGGTTACAGATGTTACTCCCTTGTGTAGAATCATTACTATATTTTTTGCAGATGTAACGTTCTTTGGAAAAAAACATTTACTTCTCATCCTCCATAGTTGAGTCTCATACTACTAAGAAGTTTATTTTTGATTCCTTATCTTGGTCTACCACCTTCCTCTCTTCCAGAATCAGTTTTGACTACAAATGTTCCTGACAATCCTCTTCTTGAACAATCACAAAGATCACCCATCGTATACCAACATTGTCCACATGTTGCTAATATAGAGTTGGAAGGCACTCAAGCACCATTTGAATCATGTTCTGCACGAACATATGTCCCTACTACAAACCTTCTTGAAGAAAGACCTGATATGCCAATTGTGGTTCGAAAAGGTATTCAATCTACATGCAATCTCCATCCTATTTATAACTTTCTAAGTTTCTATCGTCTTTCTCCTTCTTATTATTCTTTTATGTCATCTATATCTTCTATGTCCATTCCTAAAAATGTTTTCGAGACACTTGATCTTCTAGTATGATGATAAGCCATGATTGATGAAATGCAAGTTTTAGAGCATAAACGGTACTTGGAAATTAACTTCTTTCCTCTAGGGAAGAAACCAATTGGATGTCAATGGGTATATGCTATTAAAGTTGGGCCCATCAGACATATTGGTCGTCTCAAAACCCGACTTGTAGCAAAAGGATATTCCCCAACTTGATTATGGAGATACTTTATCTCCTTTAACCACAAAAACTTTTGTTCTATTATTTGTTGCCATAAATGCCATCCGTCATTGGCCATTGAATCAATTGGATATCAATAATGCATTTATTTATGGTGAGTTAAAAAAAGAAATTTATATGGAGCAACCTCCTAGATTTGTTGCTCTGGGGAAGTCTAGTTTGATTTGCAAACTACATCGATCTCTCTATAGGGGATGCTATCTATCTTTAACGATAATATCCCTTATTCAATCCTTTTTTCTTATTTCCACCTCTACCCAATTCTTCCTCATATCTTCAGGTCTACATGTTTGTTCACAATCTCTTTGCTGGACTTGATAAACCATTAACTCGACCACTCAAGTTTGTCTTTCTTGATTATCATCGATCCCAAAGAGGTTATTGTTGTTAATCACTTACACTGCAATGATACCTCATATCAGCCAATATTATATTTTTAGAGTCTTTTCCATATTTCAAGTCCAACCACGTGACTCCGGAATCCCTTTAGGTAGTTACTCCTACACCTTTTCCAAAAGTTATTAATATCACCTTTGCCATTGTTCCTTATGAGTCTAGATAGTCTGACCTACTGGATACTCCTACGGTTAACCCCCCACTGAACGACCACTGCAAACATGTCGTCGTCGTCACCCAACGTCTGTTGTACCTATCTCTTAGGTCATTACAAACTCTCCTCGACGCTGTCTCCATCATCGAATCAGATCGTGCAGCCTGAATCCGATCTTTCGATTGCCATTTGAAAATGTATAAGTCAAACACGAAATCACTCTCCACATTATGTTGATTTATTATCACCGTCTTTCCCCTTTGCATTATACTTGCTTGTCTTCTTTGTCTTCTGTTTCTATTTCTAAAACTCCAGGTGAAGTATTATCTCACCTTGAATGAAAACAAATAATGATTGACGAGACGTGTACTCTCCAAATCAGTGGTATCTGAGAATTGGTTCCTCTACCCCCAGTAAGTCTTTTGGTAGGTTGTCGTTAAAGGCTGATCTAGATGGTAAGATTGATTAATTGAAAGCTTGCTTGGTACCTAAAGGATACACTTAGATATTTGGGTTGAATTTTAGTGATACTTTCTCGTCTGCACCCAAGATGACATCAGTTAGATTTCTTCTCGCCATTGCCGCCGTTTGACACTGACCTCTTCATCAACTTGAAATCAAAAATGCATTTTTACATGGTGATCTTGAAGAGGAAGTATATATGATGCAACCACCTGAGTTTGTTGCTGTGGGGGATTTATCCGTTATGGTTTGTCAGCTACGCAAGCCTCTTTATGGTCTTAAGAAATCTCCGAGAGCTTGGTTTGAGAGATTCAACACTGTAGTACAATAGGTTGATATGATTTGTAGTGAAGCTGATTGTTCTATTTTTTATTGTCACTCAACTCAATGATGCATTTATCTTATTGCGTACGTAGATTATATTGTCATAACTGGTACTGATAAGTAGATAATGCTCGGTTAAAACAACATCTTTCAAATTAATTTTAGACAAAAGACTTTGATAAACTCCGCTATTTTTTTGGGTATTGAGGTAGTCCAATCTAAATATGGTTTGATAATTTCTCAATGGAAATATGCTATTAATATTTTGGAAGAAACAAGTTTATTGAATACTAAACCAACTGATATTCCTATGGATCGAAGTGTCAAACTCCTTGCCAAGAACTCATGGATGTTGTTATCCGGATTCAGAGATACATTAAAAGTGCTCCAGGAAAAAAGTCTCATGTATGAAGATATAGGACATACTTTGACAGTTAGAACTTGGATACTCCGATATTGATTGGACAAACTCACCCATTGATAAACGATCCACTTCTGGATATTGTGTACTTATTGGAGGAAACTTGATATCATGGAAAAGTAAGAAACAAAATGTAGTTGCAAGATCAAGCGCCGAGGCAGAATATAAGACCACAACACTAGTAACTTGTGAGCTCATTTGGTTGAAGTAGTTGCTCAAGGAACTTCATATTCAAGAAGTATGACCAATGACACTTATTTATGATAATCAAGTTGCATTGCATATTGTCTTGAATCCAATTTTCATGAGAGGACTAAACATATTGAGATAGACTGTCAATTTGTCCGAGAGAAGATCGAATCAGACAACATTGTCACAAATTTTGTCAACTCTAATGATCAGTTTAACTCTAATGACCAATTGACAAACATATTTACAAAGTCCTTACGAGGTCCCAAAACTAATTATATATGTGGCAAGCTTAGTGCATTTGACTTATATGCTCCAGCTTGAGGCAGAGTGTTGATATTTGCATATATTAAAAATAAATTATTTTGTACCATATTTCGTAAATATACCATAGTATATTCTTTATGCAATTAATACAATTAATTATGTAAATTCCTATATAATAGAATTTCGTAGTGCTATTCATTAACACGGTTTTATCTAAATGTCTCTATTTCTCTTGTATTTCAATGATTAGTTTTGATTGTTTATGAGCAAACTCATTTGCAGAAACCAATTTGAAGTTTATTGAAAAAGAAACGATAAGTTTCTTGACAAAGAAATTTCCATAAGACAATAATAGTGATAAGAAGTTATACATAAAATTTAGGCACAATTAATTACAAAGTCTTTTAACTTAATTTAATGCTTCACATTAGTTGCTTATCTAATAAATATTACATATTAGTCCCCTTAAAAATTATTCCGTTAGTCTAATTGGTCATTTCCATTAAGTTTTATGAAAAAACATTAACTTCTGCATACGTGGCATGACAACAAGACAATTATTAAAAATCTGAGTTAACATATGTATTTTAAAGTAGGGTTTCTACTTCTCTCGTTTCTGATTCATGTGTTCATTATCTTCTTCAAAATCATCTTCTTTAAAATTCATCTTCTTTCTTTTGCTGTGCTTTCTAGGGTTTGTTCATCATCTTCTTTTCTTCAATTTTTTTCTCCAATGTCAAAGAGTTCAAGTAGTGCTTCAATGTCAAACAATCAAAGTTTTGGGATGTGATGAATTATAGATCGAATTGTCCCGAAACATTGATTGTTTGACATTGAAACACTGCTTGAAGTTTTTGACATTAAAGAGAAGAATTGAAGAAGATGAATGTTGAAGAAGATGATGAACAAATCCTAAAAAACTCAGCAAAAGAAGATGAATTTTGAAGAAGATAATGAACGCATAAATCATAAACGAGAGAACTAGAAACCCTACTTTATAATACATAGATTCAGATTTTTAACAATTGCCTTGCGGTCACGCCATGTCTGCAAAAGTTAATATTTTTTTCACAAATTTTAACGGAAATGACCAATTAGACTAATGGAACAAATTTTAAGAGTCTAAGATCTAACTTTTTTTTAGATAAGAGATTAAACCGAAACATTAAATTAAATTAGGAGACTAAAATATGCATTGAACTTAAAATTTAAACAAAATAGTATTTTTAGAATAATAAATAGACAACACCAAAATCATATTTCATTGTGTTTAGCTCATTCGTCTCCTTTAGATTTAGAATAACCTATTTAATCAGATTAATACTTTAACATAATTGAAAACTTTGAAATATATCATATGTTATTGTTCTAAATATTTTAATATGAAAAAAATAGACATTTGAAAGAAAGTATAAACATTGGAGATTTGAGATGGAAAAAAAGACTAATATTGAGGGAAAATTAAGGATTTTTAATACATAAAGGAAAGATTTGAAATAATAATTGAGTTTTGAAATTCTGAAAAGTTTTAAATATAACGAAGGCTTAGGTCATAAGGAGGGTTTGTGATAGTAACTTAGCAAAAGATGCTCTTATTCTTAACGGTGATGAGAGTTGATAGGTACGAAGATAGGGGAACTGCCCATATTCTGCATATTATTTGAGGGCTTAATGTATGGAATTTTTACATCGGTATCAATCAGGGACAGCAGTATATGCAATGTGTGTGGGTTTGGTGTTTTTTATTTTTGACAAGGATTTGATGGATATTCTCTCAAAAATGATATTTGTTTTAGTGTTGTAAATTTACGAAGATGAGTATTGTCTTCACTATTTAAAATTCTTACATAAATTGATGGTATTATTATTGTGAAGATTGTACGAGGCCAGATCGAGAAAACAACTGGGATCAAAAAGTGGCTTAACCAAACAACAGAGGCTGCACATCCATCAGCTCAACTAAACAGCACCGCTTCTGAGCCTACTTTTGCACAACCTTCCATGTCATTTTCGCCTTTCCAAACTCCTGAAGAAGATAACAAGAAGGCGGCAGCAGCTGTTGCCGCTAAGCTTGCTGCCTCTTCATCATCTGCTCAGATGCTTGCATCTGTTCTTTCTTCTCTAGTGGCTGAAGAAGCGGCCTGCGTTAATGGTAGTTTCAATTCCAAAGGATTTACATCAGGATTACCTATGTTCAACCCAGAGAAAAGACCCAAAATTGAAAAACTATCGCCGGTTCCTGATGTTAATATTTCTGATATGGGGAGCTCGTCCTTTTTCACCAATTTGCAACAGCCATTGTCAACAAATCCGCAGCATCCACCGTCAGCCAACATGCAAACAATGTCTCAAGCCAATCAACTACAAGCTGCATTTGTTTCAGCACCGCTTCCGCCTCAGTATGGCCAACCAACTAGTTTCATGGATGGAGGAATTCCTTACGGATACATGTCAAATACTCTACCACCTCCACCTCCTTTTCCTCCACATGCTGCATCAGGGTTATCAATGCCCAGCACTCAACCAGTACAGCAGTCATCGCCAGGAGGATTTTACAGGCCACACAGCATTGGATTCTATGGGCAAACCCACCCTTCAACCCCACCCCCAGTTCATAGGCATTAATTGAGCTTTGTTCAAAGACAATCAGCCAACATAGCGGCAAAACCTTTGTATGTTGCTCCTCTCAGAATTGCTGTAGGCTGAGGATTTTCCTTGAGGCTGTATAATGATGTAAATTATTAGATATATATAAATCTGGCCAGAGTTCATCTGTATCCTTAAACACCCATTCCTTTTTTATTTTGCTTACTACCTAATTTTTATGAAGCATCACAATGTCCCTGTTATGATGCATATGAATTCTTATTTCCATGAAGCTGCAAATGGGGAAAATCATAAGCAGCTGATGATATTCACCTCTAGATGACACCATGCTCATAGTATGTTTTTCTTTCTACAGTCTTGAGGTTGGCTGTAAATGTAGAGTAGTACTAGTATCTATTGACAGATGAATATATGATGTTGGTATTTTAGTTACCTGTTAGTGTCCATATGGCGGATTTCATGAGTCTTTATTCGAGCAAAGGTTTCGGATGAAAAACGCCTTCCTTCCTAGACATAATACATTTATTTATCTGCTCTTCTGAACTAATGTTGATGATGTTTTGGACAATGAACATGTCCATAATATATTTGATTAAACTGTCTTTGTATTCAAACCTGTTGGATGGTGCTGAAGTGATTGTTTATTTGAACATACTTTTATGATTGGACTAAACTTATGCAAGTCTTGTAAAATAATGTTTATAACTAGCATATGACCTGTGTTTTCTACAAGTTTTATTTGCTGAAAATTTGAATATAATAATTTTATTTTATTTTGAATTTATGAGGAGAATAATTGAGATAAAACTTTCAGTGATAATCACTCTTAATTTTTTTATAACAAAATATGAGTGATTTATTATTTGATTATAAAGTAGTGTTTTTAATGTTATGTTCAAATTTATTATTCAGTAAATGGTATGTTCAAATTTATCATTTGTTAGATTTATTGAGCATTTTTTTAATGAACCATTTATGTAGACATAATGATTTAACTCTTATTGAATAATTATATAATAGAAGTAGAATTTATGACGTTAATATTATATTTCAGTTAAAGATTAAAAAACTATGTGCTAATTTATCATTTGTTAGACCTATAAATTCATTATTTTGAAATGAGTATTTTGCTTACGACTAATATAGAGATAGTATTTTATCTTTTATTGGAGAAATATATAGTAGAGTTTATGAAACTGTCAGTGATTATGTTTTTCGGAATAAGTATATAAAAATAAATAAAAAATTATCAATTTCTTTTACTACATATACTTGAATATTTTCGGTATATCCAATATGAAAAAAATTAAATATATGTTTTTAATTATTATATAAATAATTAAATAACAAGTTGTAATTAGGTAAATATTTTATATTTTAATGTCATTATGTTAAATTTATGACATAAATAAAAATAAATAAACAGGTTTCAATTCATATTTATGATATAAATAAAAAATAGTACCATATTAAATAAATGTATAATTATTAAAGAAATAACTGTCTTAATAATTTTTGAATTTATTTGCTTTTGTTAGATTATTAATAAAGAGAATGATATTAAGAGTTATAGGAAGAGAGTTTTTTAATCCACTCTTTGATATTTTTAGGCACTTAATGCATTTTTTTTATGTCCACTGATTTTGGAGATATATATTCGGACACATTTTTTTTTGTTAAAATTTGGATGTTGTCGGAGTTACAGCTACAAAATAATTTTCTACTGGTATACGCTGTAAAAAACTTGAAAATAAATCAGTTCAGGGGGACTTTCGGAGATGCACCTCCGAAACGTCTAAGCGCCAGAATGTTTCGTAGATACAGTTCCAGAAGTTTCTGCTATATTTTAAACATGCATGATTACTCCACCATTGTTGTCTTTTCTTCTTCCACACTCACCTTCAACAACCTAAAAAACTCTACATTCTCAATATCATTTTTGCTACAAAACTCCAACTTTTTCGTGCAACAAATCAAAGGGAGAAAGAGAAGATAGAATTTCAGGTAATTATTGCACTTTGCCCACTACGTTCCTCACATTAATCATCAAAGTTTTGGGGAAAAAAAAGTAACATTGCTTTCGGAGTTGTACCTCCGAAACGTGTTGAAGACGAACACTTTCGAATTTACACCTCAGAAACGTGTGTGTTCTGTTTTTTTGCAGCAGATTTTTAATTTTTGTTCATTTTTCTTATTGTTTACAAATAGATATGGTGCACCCCGTTAATATCTCCAAAGAATTAGTATCCGCAAACGATATTTTTTCGAATGTTCAAGGGATTGTCGTAAAGTTGGTAGATGTCGGCGTTGACTTTAATAACAAGCAAGAGTTTGATGGTCGTGATAGCATGCTCACATGGATATGTAGGAATGCAATTATCAGATAATGGTTCGGAAAGAAGAAACGTTTTTGTAACTTTGTTGTGCGAAAGAAGCGGGAAATATCAGACTCTTCTACGGAAGTTTAAAAGAGACGACACCGATAATAGAAAATGTGAATGTCCTTTTAAAATTCGTGGTTACATGTTGAGTACCAAAAAGTAGAAATTTAGTGTTATTTGTGGTTTGCATAACCATGAATTGTGCTTAAAGTTACAAGGTCATCCTAGTGTATGTCGGCTCAAGCCGAAAGAGAAGACATGTATTAGTGACATGACCTTGAATCTTGTCCAACTGCAAAATATACTTGCCACATTGAAACAGAAGGAATCCGATAATATATCAAATATAAGGCAAGTGTATAACATTCGGTACCACACCAACAAGGCGATTAGGGGAGATAGAAGTGAGATGCAACAACTGTTGAAATTGTTGGATGGTAATAGTTACGTGTTCCGGTACAAAAATTGCGATGATGGAGTTACAGTCAGAGATATTTTTTGGAGTCATCCGAATTCGATAAAGTTGTTCAACACGTTCTCGACAATGCTCATTCTTGATTCTACCTACAAGACCAACAAGTATAAACTTCCTTTATTTGAGATGATTGGTGTTACCTCTATCGAGAAGACATATGTCGTTGGTTTTGCTTTTCTAGAGTGTGAAAAAGAGGACAATTTTACATGGGCATTAGAGGTGTGTCAGTCACTTTTGAAGGACCAAGTTGAGATGTCTAAAGCAATTGTTACCGACCGCGATACCAAGTTGATGAATGCGGTTGTAAAGGTATTTCCTTTTTCTAATGCATTACTTTGTCGATATCACATAACAAAAAATGTGAGAAGTCGGGTTAAACCCACAGTGGGGGCAAAATAAGTAGAGTCTGAGGGTGGAAAATTGGTGAAGGCCGGTGTGATCATTGAAAAAATAATGGATGCATGGAATCGTATACTAAATTCTTCCACAAAATAATTATATGCTGATTCCGTCATTTAATTTTGGAAAGTGTGTGAAAAGTATCCTGCTTTATTGAAATACGTTGAAAGCACCATTCTTGATTAAGTGAAAGAGGAGATAGAATGTGCATAGACTGATAATGTCTGACACCTTGGAAATACAACTACCAACAGAGTTGAGTCGACCCATTCTAGTTTGAAAAATTGGTTGGGTAATAGCAAGGGAGATTTGTGTCGAGATTGAGACTCTGTAAATCTCATGATTAAAAACCAACATAATGAGATACAAACAACATTTGATCGGAGTATAACTGTATTGGAATATTGATTTAAAAACAACATTCTTTATTCTCAATTGATCGACAATATGTCTCGGTCGGGTTTGAACTATATTTTTCACGAGGCCAAATGAGCTGAAACTGTAGGTTCCGATAGTGCAAAGTGTGGTTGCACTATTGTGAAAACATATGGTATTCTGTGTGCTTGTGTTATTTCTCAAAGTTGAAACAAGGTGAGCCCATAAGAATGGACAAAGTTTGCCCTCATTGGAAAAGACTTAGTTTTGATGATGATGGTTTCATGGAAGGAGGTAAACCGAATATCTCTATTTTGAACGAAGGGGAAGCGAACGGAGATTCTCAAAGGCCAATGAAAATATGAAATTCCACATCAAAGAACAATTGAGGAAGACTGTCTATCCCGAAATAACTAACATGAAACCGCCTTCTCAACTAGTAAAGACAAAAGATGCTCCAAAGAAAATGAAGCCTACACCGAATGGTAACTCGACTACACAGTCTCCTTCTTATTGTGAGCACGTTGACAAACTTTATCCCGACTCACGGACTCCTAAATCTCAAAAAGTGTTATGAAAGGAGCACGCATAAACAAATCGCCTCCAACCCTGATTCCACTAAAAATTCCATTCATTGACGAGATGCCGGTTTTTATGCAAAAATATATCGACCGTATCGTCAATGTTGAAGGGGATGGTAATTGTGGTTACCGAGCCGTTTCGACTTTGCTTGGTAGAGGAGAGGATAGTCATGCGTTTGTCTGTCATCAATTAATCCAAGAGTTGAAGATGCATAAAGAATCGCACACACGGATGTATGGAAAGAAGGGAAAGTTCGATGCAGTTTATGAATCTCTTGTTCCTTGCTTGAGTGGTTTGTCACCGGTGTCGAAATGGATGATCTTCTCTGATATGGGTCATCTTATTGCGTGTGCATATGATAGGGTGTGCATTGACTTGACGCGATACGGGTTCTTGGAAATCTTTTTTCCACTCTGCACTGCACCACCTCAAAATCCAAATGATCGCATCATGTGTATTGGATGGCTTGCAAAATCAAGACATTTTGTACAAGTTTACTTGAAACAGGGATGCTCCATACCATCTGCATCACCGGAATGGACGACTCATTCAACCGTAAATGTCGAGACGTGGCCAGATCATTTTGTTGAAAGGATGCAAGAATTCGAAAGATTAAACAACATTGAAAAGGAATCAAATGCGGAAAAGTCTAAAGGGTACCACAAATAGATTTAGACGACGACACTTGTTTTGATTCATTTTGAATTATTGTATAATTGGAAGATTAATTGTAAATTTTTTGAAGTGTAAAATAATAAATTTTATTCTTATGCCTTATTCATGCACTTATGCCTTTTATTTGTCTA